AAGCTTCTTTAAACATAAAAGAAAGAAAAGGCTGGGCACAGTGGCTCATGCCTGTAGTCCCAGCACTTTGGGAGGCCAAGGTGGGAAGATTGCTTGAGCCCAGGAGTTTGAGGCTGCAGTGAGCTATGATCTAGCCACTGCACTTCAGACTGGGTGACAGAGTGAGACCTTGTCTCAAAAAAAATTTAAATTCAAATTTAAAAAAAGAAAGAAAAAAGAAAAGGGCTATGAAACCAGTACATGTTCATTACAAAAAATTTCAAAACTAAAGGGAGAAAAAGCCCTTCACAGCCCCATAAGCTCTCAAAACATTTATCATAACTGCTTCAATTGATTTTGTTACCAGAGTGTAAACACTTTGAGGACAGGGACCTGGTTTTCTTTTGCATCCCTGCGCTTGCAGTCAGTAGACACAGAAGACTCAATAAACATGTATAACTGAAAAAATAACATAAATCATCCATATAACACACCCATAACCATATTGAGTCTGATATCCATCCAATCCTTATTTTACATAGTTCCTTTATTAAAAAACAAAAATGGCATCATGCTGCATATACATAATTTGGAAAAGGATATGTTTTCTAACATTTTTTCGCTAAAAACATACCACAAATATATTTCTAGTTCATTATCTATTCATCTACCACCTCATTTTTAGTTGCTGCTTTGGGTTTGGATAGACCATAACTTAGGTTGTCTTCAGTTTTAAATATTCAAAAGATCATTGTAACAAAAATCCTGTCTAAGCTCTTTGCATGTATCAATCATTTTAAAAGGCTAAATGAGTGAAGGCGGGCTTGCTGTGTCAAAGAATGGGCAAACATCTACGGGTCTTGAAACCTACCACGAAATCCTGCTGTGGAATGGTTGTAAGGACTTATATTCCTTTCTTGCCATCCTCATTTTCAGCAAGTATTACTAAAAATATTTTTTGCCAACTTAGAATGGTATCTCCTTTTAATTTGTATTTATTTGATGCCTAGTGGTTAGGCATTGTTTATATGCTTATTTCAGCTCATCTTTTTCCTACATTGACAGATGATATCTGTGTTCTGAAATCCAAGGGCTGCACTTTGGTCTGTCTCATGAGGTAACTGTGGGTACACACCACTGGTCTCTCCTTCTGCTTGTTTGGCTTCTGCTTCCATAGCCTCTCCTGGCCACTGTTGTTCTCTAGTGTAGATTTCTTCTCTGTGACCCCTTCAGCATCATTATTGCCCAGAATGGTACAAGTGACCACATAAAAGGAGTATGTATGACTGGTGGTGAGAAGCCAAGATCACTCTGAGTCTGAGAGATGGTAGCAGCCTGGAATGGTTTGGTGGCCATGAGAATAAAGAAAAAGGGGTGGACCTGACAGATGTTTAATGGGTAAAACTCACATGATTCGGCAACTGATTGGCTATGGAAGACAAATGGAAGGGAAGAGTCTAGAATGAGTTGGGTTCTACCCTGGGTAACTGACTACCGTGTTTCCCCAAAAATAAGACAAGGTCTTATATTTATTTTTCCTCAAGAAGACACCCTAGGGCTTATTTTCACGGGATGTGTTATTTTTTTTTAAGTACGGTACAACAATCTACATTTATTCAAATATAGTTGTCTTCTTCTGGAACATCAAAGCCCAAATTCCATCCTGAATTTCTTGTGACTATTATTTCCTTTAGAACCATTGGCCCCAATCTCTCCTGTCGAGCAACAGAGGTCTCATTAAATGAGTAGCTCTTATCCATGTAACCTGCTTGGAGTGCAGAGTCCAATCTGCACACTGGAGCAGAAATGATCTCTCTGGGCTCAGTAGGCGACTGCTTGCTGAAGCTTTCCCCCTATACCCTGATGTTTGTGGGGAGTGAGAGAGGCCCACAGTGCTGAGTAAAATGGCAGCCACAGCTTTCCTTCTTCCCCTTGGGGACACACAATATCTAGAGCAGAGCGTCCGGCTCCTCACTTCACTGAGACTTCCCTCTCAAAGCCTCAGCTTGCAGCACGCACGGGATGGCCGAGACCTGACAGGGGGAGCCGACCTTGTTGTTGGGGCTGCCTACGCCTTTATGGTCACCTCTGGGACAGCAGCTGTCACGATGGGGCTGATGAGAAGGGCTGCTCCTCTTCTTTACCGCTCTGCGAAATGCATGGTGCATGGGTCGTGCAGACACACTGCATAGCCACGTCCATCACTAGGTCTTATTTTTGGGTTAGGGCTTATATTGTGCAAATGCTTAGAAATCCTGCTAGGGATTATTTAATGGATAGGTCTTATTTTTGGGGGGATACATAGTAGGTTTATGGTGACCCTGCTCAATCCAATAGGGGAGAGAGGAAGAGCACAGATGGGAGAGAGATGATGAAAGTGGTGTCCCAGAAAATGAGAGGGTGGCCAACAGCACCAAAAGCTGAACAATCAGATTAGTTAGGTTATAAAGTTAAGGAAGAGGAGTGACAATTCTTTCAAGAAGCTTGTCTATGGAGAGAAAAAAGCAACAGGGTAATAACCAGAGGGAGTGTAGGGTTGAAGGAATATTTTTGTAGCTAAGGGAAATGGACTAGTAGAGGCTAAAAGTACAGTACAGGTGCCAAGAGGGTGGCTGAAGGAACAAGATCCCAGAGATGAGGTGAATTAGGATCATAGCAAAGTTGGGGCTGAACAGGAAAAAGGGTATCACCATCGTGAGATGGCAACAAGAGTGAGGCAGCAGGAGGCAGATATACAGATCCCTCTGGAGGCTCTTGGAGGGAAGGGTAACAAGTTCCTGGTCTTTGAACTTTCCTCCCTCTGTGAATTAGAACATGAGGTTCTCTACTGTGGATGTGGGTTAGTAAGCAGTTGGAGCCATGTGGTGAAGGCTTATAATAATCTGAGAAGAATCACAGAGGGTACTGACCAAAGACAGACTGCTCGATGGCACTGAGGCACAACTGTAGTTGGACCCCTGAGATTTGTAACAGCCCCAATCTGTACACTACTATCATTTTGAGCTGCTAAGTTCTGCACCCCAAGAAGATACAGGTGGGGAGAAATTGAGCCATGGATTGACTCAGGACTGGGAGCTGGTAGAGCTGGTGCAATTTGAGGATGAGGGGTCTAGGGAGGTGAAGGTATGAATGAGAAATCTAAACTGATCACAGAGCACCAGTTGGGTCAGGTAGAAAATGGGATTAAAAGGAAAAAGAAAATAAGGCCAAGTAGAAACATCAAAGGATTAGACTCCTAAAGAAGTAAAAGAACAGATTGAGTGGTAGAGTGTAACAAAACTGGAAAATATAACATTACAATAAGACAGGATTATTAGAGCCTGAAATATGGTCACAAGAGGGGAATGCATGGTGGAAGGTGAAGTGCTAGATTTGAAGAAATCATGGCACTGGAAGGCCACGCTTGAAACACTGAGTGGTGGAATTTGGGATGAAGACTGGAAGGCAGATTCAAGGCCTCAGTGACTCTTGCACAGCGACTGTGAGACTGGCAGAGAACATAAAGCCGATGAGGTCACCAGATGGCATGACCCTTTCCTACCTTTTCCAGGCCTCAGGGAGGTGGCAGAACACTGTGTTAGCATCAGGGCCTCTGGAGTACAGTGGGGCTCCAATCCTGGCTCCACCAGTGACTACCTATGTGGCCTTGGCTAAGTCAATTAACCTCTCTGTGCCTCACTTCCCTTATCAGTACAACGAATACATACTAGTACCCACAAGGAAAGTGCTCATAACAAGGCCTACCACAGGTACCAGAGTACTCCTTATACTTCAGCACCACTGTCATTTCTCATTTGAACAATGAGGGGGTTGTAACAGTCTGAGGCAGAGACTCTCAAACTTTTTGGTCTCAGAACCCCTTTACGCTCTTAAAAATTATTGAAGACACCAAAGAACCTTTTAAAAGTGTGCATATCTATCAATATTCTTATTAGAAATTAAAATTAAGAAAATAAAAATACTCATTCACTTAAAAACAATAAACCCATTACGTCGTAGCATAAATATTTGTAAGAAAAATATACTTTTCAAAAAATTGTGGAAATGTGTCATTGTTTTACAAATCTCTTTAATTGAAGACAGCCAGATTCCCTTATCTGCTTCTGCATTTTATCTGTTGCAATGTACTGTTTGCTTAAAGTATGAAAATCCTAGTACTTCACTGATTCTTTCAAAGTCTTGGGGACCCTGGACCACACTTTGATAACCATTATTTTAAGCTTTCTTCCCGTTCTAAATCATTCATTCAGTGACTCATTCAACACCACTGGATTCCAGAGACAAATATGAACCACATGAACCATGTCATCACTTCCTTGGAAGAGTCTGAGAGAAAACAAGTTAAAAGTTACAGCACAGCATGAGCGAGCATAGAGGAGGATGTTAGGAAGTTACTAGTGGACCTAAAGGAGGCAGGGAAGGCTTACTCAAGTACAGGGAATTTGAATTTCCTATGTTCCCTCTAAACAGAAAGAAGAGCACATGCAAAGGCCCAGAGGCAGAGATCAGTGTGGTACAAGAAGGAAGCACAGGGTGCCTTGGTGGAAGGAAAAGTCAGTACGATGGAAAAGCATGTTGGGCATCCTATAGACAATAGGAAACTGGGGTGATGAGAGCTTACTTCTTTTTTTTTTTTTTTTTGAGACAAGGTCTTACTGTATTGCCTGGGCTAGAGTACGGTGGAGTCATCATAGCTCACTGCAACCTCAAACTCCTGGGCTCAAGACATCCTCCTTCCTTGGCCTCCCAAAGTGCTAAGATTACAGGCATGAGCCACCATGCCTGGCCTGCTTTTCCTTCAGTCTGATATAATTTACAGAAAAGTAAAATTTACCCTTTTAGGTGTATGGTTCTGAGTTTTGACAGAGTTATCCAGTTAATGTTAAACAATACCACAATCAAGATATAGAATATTCTCATCACCTCAAAAAGTTCTCTGTAGTCAATAAACCTGCAGGTAGCCACTGATCTGATTTGTCCCTATAGTTTAATTTTTTACCTTGAAATAATTATATACTCACAGGAATTTGCAAAGAAGGCCCATGTACACTTTTCCCAATGGTAGCATCTTAAAAATCTATGAAAAAAATATCAAAACCAGGAAATTGACATTGGTACAATACTATCAATTATACTTCAGACCTTATTCAGATTTAACCAGTGTTTACATACATTAGCTTGTTTTAAAGAACATAAACTAGGCCATTGCATAAAGGAAGGTTTGGCCTGGCAAGGACACAAGTTAGCTACCATTGTCCATAGAGGAAAAGAGAACTTGAAGTGCGAGGAAAGGACAAAAGGAAAACATTTCTGGAGTAGAATAGAAATCATTTGGTGGACAATTTGGTATAAAAGTTTAAGTTAAGCCGGGTGAAGTGGCTCACACCTGTAATGCTAGGAAGCCAAGGCAGGAGGATCGCTAGAGGTCAGGAGTTCGAGACCAGCCTGAACAAGAAGGAAACCCCATCTCTAGTAAAAATAGATAAAATTAGCCGGACATGCTGGCACACACCTGTAAGTCCCAGCTACTCGGGAGGTTAAAGCAGGAGGATTGCTTGAGCCCAGGAGTTTGAAGTTTGCTGTGAGCTGGGCTGACACCACGGCGCTCTAGCCCTGGCAACAGAGCAAGACTCTGTCTCAAAACAAAACAAAAAAAGTTTAAATTAATCCTTTTTTTGGAAATGAAATTTCCCATATGGCAGGACAACAAGCAGAAGGTTGTTTTAAACAGCCTGACCTCTAATTGAAAGAAGGTCATAAAAACCCCAGATAACCATAATATTCCTGCTTATTCTTATTCAAACAGGAATAAAATGTTTAATTTCTTCATTTCCTTACTTTTACCTGATTGAAAATGATGAAATAACTGTCAAAAACCTGATATTCTATGGGGTTTAGAAAAAGTTATTTGTTTAAGATTAGCTAACCCTTCACCAAAGCCAAACAGTCTATACTTACACTTATTCCTTACTGGAGTTGAGTATTTTTGTAAGCTTTCCTACCTACTCCAACATTTTACCTGACCATATTATTGATAATGCTTAATATCTATATAGTTTATTTATAGACATCACTTACTCATATGACATAGTGGGGTAAGTGCTGTCCTCACTTCTATAGCCCAAGAAATTGAGGCTCCTAAGTGGTATCCAGGATTACATGTCAATACCTTAAAATGCTTAGAAAGGCACAGAGGGTAGGCTATATTAGGCTCAATTACTATAGCTAGTCTTGTTTAAAGTCTTGCTCTCTCTAGTCCAATAAACCCCATTTATGGCCAGGTTGGACCTATTTCTACAATTGTGCAGGAATAAATTTAGGCAAAAGCTCCATACATGCAATGGAAATAGTTCTGGTGGCAAAGTCCTCATTTAAACCCTAGTTTATCACTAGTTACTACCAAATACAATCCCTTGGGTAGATCTGAGTGACCCGATACCTATTTCCTTGATTTTAAGATAGGTTTTTTAATATCTTTGAAATCAGGAAGTATCTTAAAACCAGATTAATGAAATATGGTAACAAACTTTTTACTGTGTCCTGTGCTAGATATTTTATATACATTTTAGCACTTAATCTTCTGAACATCTAACTCTTATTATCAAATGTCAGTTGTTATGCCCACTTTAAAGACAGGGAAGTCAAGGCACAAAGTCACTTGCCTCAGGTCACACAGCCAGGTTGACAGGATAAGAGCACCCCAAAGCAAGCAGTACCCTATGAACCCAATTTCAGTAGACTTAGCTCAGGGACAGTCTATTTTATGCACCCCTCCACCACCACCAATTTCAAATGGAAAAAGATAAAATAACCACCAAAAACAAATAAACAGACAAACGCTGATTCAGCAAGGTTAAATTACTTGTCCAAGGTTACACAGAGGATATCAGAACCAGAATCCCATGGCTGCGATCTGTCTTGACTCCAAAGCTCGAGATCTATTTCCATCAAACCACGCTACCACCACCAAGCCACGTGGTAAGGGGAAGTATAAATATTTGCCGAATTAATAGTGCCTGAAAACAAAGTTGATAATAAGGAAGGGAGTAAAAATGGAAAGAGATATAAATCTGAAAAGCAGTCCACGAGCAGGAAACAAAAAATTCCATTTTCAAGGCAGTGCATTCACGGTGAGCCGAGGCGCTGGAACAAACTTGGCGCGGGTTCCGCAGGACTCCCAGGCTGGCCGTAGTGGAGTCTTCAAAAAAGACGGTTCCCAGGGAGTCAGCCTTGGAGTACGGCAGCCAAACCCGGCCGCCTCCCGACCACAACTAACCGGGCCGGGGAACACCGGGCGACTACCGGAGGCCGGCCGCCTTCCCCTTCTGGGCCCCTGGCTTAAAAATAAACACAAACACACGTCCCCAGGCGGTCCGTGGCCTCTTCTCGAGGCGGGAGCTCACTGCCCGCGCCGGCCCGCCGGCGGGCCGCACCCAGCGGCCGCGGTCAGCCCAGGCCAGGCCGATTAACACCTACAGCCTGGGCCCACTCAGGTCGCAGGCAGGGCTGGGGGCGGCGGGGCAAGCGGTCGTCCCTCAGGCAGGGCGGGCGAGCGGCAGGAGCCGGCCGTGAGGCATTTCCTCCTCCTCCCTACACGCTGCGCGGCAGCGGTCGGGCTGAGCCCGGGCTCGGGCGCCCGACCGTGGCCTGCTGGCGAGCGCGGGCAAGCGCGGCGCCCCGAGCCGCCGCCGCCGCGCCTCTCCAGCCGCGACCGCCGGCCGCGGGGCCTCCGGGCGGCTGGGCCCGGCGCGGGCAGCGAGAGGCGGGGCCGGCGTGCGGGCGGCGGAAGGAGGCGGAGGAGGAGGAAGAGGAGGAGGAGGCGGCGGCCGGGAGCCGGGGGAGAGGGGCGGGGGGTGGGTCGGGGGAGGGGAGGAGCGGGATTTGCGGAGCGCGGCGCCGCTGCCGGGAGCCGGCGGGCCCGAGAGTGACCGAGTCACGGCGGGCGCCGGCGGAGCCGCGGCGTCGGACCCGCCTCCTGGAGGAGCTCAGCCCCGGCCAGGCCCGGCCCCATTCCCGCCCCGCGCCGCCTCCCCGCCGCCGCCGCCGCCGCCGCGGGAGCGCTCCCCTGCCCACCCCGCCCCCGCGGCCGAGCCCGGGAGTCGAGTGGGAGTCGGCCGGCCGGCGCGGGCAGCGCCGGGACCCTGCGGGGGACACTGCAGCCGGAGCCCGGGAGGGGCCGCGCCGCCACCGTCTGAACTAGGATGTCCCGACATGAAGGTGAGAGGAGCCCCCGCCCCCACCCCCACCGCTCGGGCCTCGGCCTACCCCGCCCGGACCGGCGCCGCGGAGGGCGGCCGGGAAGCGGCGAAGACTTTGGCCGAGCCCGAGCCGGGCCCGAGGCGCTGGGCCCGGGAGCAAGCGAGGGCGGAGAGCCGCGGCGCCGCTGCCGCCGCCACGGCCGCGGCCCTGAGCTGGGCCTGGTGCCGGAGGCGGGGCGGCCGGGGCGGCCGGAGGGTTTGCACTGTCATGGGGCGGGGGAGGGGGAGGGGAGGCGGCGGGGCCCGTTACCGGCGGGAGCCCGGCCCTCGGGACTGATACCGGACGCCGAGGCCCGACCGGCCGGCCCGGGAGCCCCGGGCCCCGGCGCGGCCTAGCGCTCCCGCCGTCCCGGAAGGGCCCGGTGCGGTCGCAGAGCCGGGCCGCGGGCGGCGGCTGGAGGCAGAAGAGCCAACCCGGGACCTGGCGGGCGCGTCCGGTCGCCGGGAGACGACGGCGAGTGCCCCCGCCTGCGGGCTACCGCGGGCGGGCGGGAAGGTTCTGCGGCCGGGGGACGGGAAGCTCCCGCCGCCTGGAGCCCGCCTGGCCTCGCGGCTAGGCCTCGGCGCGTCCCTGGGCTCGGGTAACCAAGTTCCCGGGGTGGATCCGACCCGGCCGCGGCGAGCAAACTCCCTGCTCAGTCACCCCGCCGGAGCGGGCTTGCTCACGGCCTGCCCCAGGCCCCTCATCGGCGTGTGCTGCCTACCAAACCAGGTTTTGGTAAATGACCATGGTGAGGTCTGTTGATGGTCAGGGGGCATTTTGGACTTTGTTGTACCATTTAAAAACACGATTGGGGTACAGTTGCAGATAAGCAGACAGCTCTAGTCCAGTCCCAGGGCACAAAGAGACTAATGTTTAGGGCGGATGTATAGGCATTGAGTTGGTAAAAAATAAGTTAAGTTTAATTTACTGCCATATGGTTTCGAAAAGGGGGAGGGGGGTTGTGTTTTCTTTGTTCACTACTACAGGTTTTTAAGTAAAAGTATTAAGAGACTTGGCAAAAAGTTAATCCTGGTAAGGATTGTAGAAGTGGCTTTAAAATATTGTATACTCTGGATTTTAAAATCCTTGTATAAGGTGATGTAGGAGTGGAGAAAGTTTAGTGAGTCAGATTAATGTGTGCTTCACACCGTGGGAAGGAAGGGTATTCTTTGGGAAATGCAGACCTTAGAATTTCAAGGTTGAAAAACCCAGATTGATTAAAATTATATTTAGAGTAAGTTTCAGAATTTGCATTACTAATTGCAACGTTGAGATTGAATCAAAGAACATTTTGTGTTCAAGGTTTCTGTATTTCAAAAGTTACAAAACTAATAGGAAGTATACTGTATTTTCTTCACAAAGCATTTATTGAGTACTTACTGTGTTCAAGTGTTGGACATTTTGAAATAATGAGGTACTTAGTTTCATTGAAAGGTACATGGAAATATTTGGAAGCTATACCTGTTTTCCCATTTTATCTGCTTACTGGAAATGTATCCTACCTCTGTAATTTAAAAAAGTTGTAATTAGAGTTATAATCAAATTTCAATTTGGGATATTAAAGTAAACTTCAACTGTAGTCCTTAACTGTAGCCCTGTGTACATTGACCACTTTAGACAAAATGAAAGTGAGCAATGGCTGCAGGCTCTTACGCATAAGAACTGGGAAAGTTAAAATTACAGAATCATAGTCAACGAAGGATGTTTGAGACCCATTCTCCTGGCTTTAAGAAAGCATCCAGATGGTTTCCTACTTGAGCATTCTAATTGAGTGCTGTCCTGGGAAGAAGATTCCTTCACCTTTAGTGCTCTGTTGGAGTAATTAATATCACATAAAGTTGGAACATTATTGAATGTAGTATACATTCTATAATTTAAGCCCATTTTGCCCTATTTGGTCCTTTGGAAATGTGTGTGGTTGTGAAATTTATATTACCATGTAGTTATTTGAATATTACTGAACTTCAGCTTACTAATAACTAATAGCACACCTTTCCTGGTAACTTGCATTAATGTCAGATATTTCTGAAAAAGAAACATTCCTAAATACATCTTTTGAAAATTTGTAGTACAATATTTGACAAGTGACTATCTTTCAGGGGTGTAGTAGTTAATGGCCTAAAGCAGGAATAGCTTCATGAATCACATTTTACTCGTTACCTATATGTTTTGCGGAATATTAGTGCAGACTG